TAACTAAAAGGCATAGCTGATCCGTGAAGTCTGCTCCCAAATGGGTTATTTATACTTTCACTTTGGTGCTAAAACCATTTTGGTTGTTTTTGCTTATGGTACCTATTCAAGAAGGGAATTTTCCTAGACCAGGTACATTAAGAATCATAAAATGTTTGTAGCTTGGAATATTCCAGAACTGCACCTCCTGTGTAGAGTGAAGAAACTGCAGTAGCCCTATTCTTCTCCCCCAAGTCCCTCCATGTCACACCTTCCTATTATTTGCCTTTATTCCTCTTAACCAGTGGTTCTGATTTTTATGGACAAACAAAAGCAAACTCCATGCCAGTTTTCTTATAAAAAGTGCATCTTTAATATTTCACCAGGCTGGACACAGCTCAGAGCCAAGGAGCTGCTATGTGTCGGTCAGTGCAAAAGGACCCACTCCATATCTGTCAGTTTGGTGGCTTTGATATCATGTCTGCCTAGAACAAGCTGAGGACAGCCACTCGACTGTCACCAAACGGTGTGAGCAAAGCTGGAGGGCATGAATGTCAAAGAACTTGTCCTGGGATATTTTGAAACAGTTACAAAATGAACGAAAATGAAAATAAATTATAAAAATTAAATAATATAAATAAATAAAATCTAGGTTCAGAGTGAGGTTGTTCAGCAACAACCAGCCACAGGAGAGGTAGCTATGGAGTCACAGGGATGCTTCCAAGACTCAGACCCCTGCTCCCCACAGGGCCCACGGAGGTCACTGGGTTCCTTGCTGCCTCCAGGCCACTCAGGCATTCAGCTCCAGGTCAGTGATGTATTCCTGGACCCAGTTCTCACTGGGGTCAGCACACACCTGCCGGCCTCTCTTGGTTAGGAAGCTGTGGGGAGAAGCAGAGGATCAAACACTGAGGAATCCTACAGGGGATCTGGGGCCCACGGTGGTCCCTCCATCCCACCCCCTGCCCTGGACAGCTCAGAGAAGCTCTGCCTATGTTACTCCAGAGAGTCTCTCTACCAACTCAGGAGTGTCTCAGAGTACTCTGCCACCTCCTTCTTCTTGTCCCTCCTCTCTGAGTTGGGGGTCCCACCTTCACGACCAAGTCAGGTTACATTTAAGAGCTGAATCCTATATACGTGGCCTGTCAAGGGTTGCTCTCCTGGCATGTCTCTGTCCATGTGGGGCTGTCCTCAAGGGTGGGCAGGGGAAGTGGCACTTACATGACACCTGGCTGGGAGCACTGGCTGCTGGTCTCAAAATAGTCCTCTATGAATTTGCGTTGAATCTGCCGGGCCACGTAGGAGAAGCAGCAGGCCGTTGGGGAGTCCGCACCAACTGTGGAGAAAGGGACAGAATGAGTCCAGGTCATCATCCAGAAGGAAAGGCCACCAGCTGTCACATCCTCAGGCACTTAGGAAGAGCCCTGTGCAAGGTGAGGACTGGATACCAGGCCTCAGGAAGGCATTTGGGCATTTCTGCCTAGAAACCTCATGTCTCTGTCTTCCTTCTGTCTCTGTTCTCCTTGCTTCCTGACTCTTCTTTGTCTGTGTGACTCAGAAAACCAAGCAGACTGTTCTCCTCTCTTCCTTCAGGGAATTCTGTTTGGTTCAAGATGTCACACCCCAGCAAAAAGAGAGGTCTGGACATCTATCTTATGATCCAGTGGGCAGAGCTCCTGGGAGGCCTGGAGTGAGCTGGG